ACGGCTTCACCCCACAGTACATTTTAGAAGAACATTTCCAAACAATCTATTGAACAGGTTGACTGTTAATAGTCATAAGAATAATAAGCGTCGGTGAGTCCTAATAAATTTCAGGGTTTGGAAGGTGGAAAATCCGCAAATTAACAAGTGTCGGGTTGAGTTTATTTAGTATCCGAGAATGCAAGATTTAAAAACTAGTTTAAATACCTGTGAAGTGTTTTAACAGCGGACGGAACGAGTGACATTAAGATCCGAAGGCGTATTGGGATAGCCAAGGAAGCATTCCAAAAGCTAAGCAGAGTATTAAGAAAAAGGAAAAATTCGCTAGAAACATGTAAAAGAGTACTGAACTGTTACATGGTATCTGTCCTCCTGTAAGTGCTGAACGATCACCTCGAAGATGAAGAAGAGACTTGAAGCAACAGAAATGTGGTTCTACAGAAGGATGCTGAGGATACCGTGGACCGAACACGTGAGGAACGGCAAAGTTTTGGAGGAAATGGAAACAAAAAAGAAACTAATAATTAACATTAAGAAGAGACAGTTGAGGTTTCTAAGATAAATAATGAGGAAGGAGGGATGGGAAAATCTGACACTCACGAGACAGATAGAGGACAAGAGGAAGAAAACGCATAACAACATATTTAATGAACTTGAGTAAATGGATGGCGGAACAGAGTCTGGGAGAAATAACAGAAAGACAAAGTTTACTAAGAGCTACAAGTGACAAGAAGTTGTGGAGAGCCATGATCGCCTACGTCCTGAGGGGACACGGTATATAAGGAAGAATTTCGAAAACCTCAAAGCACATCGGAAGGAAGTGCTCAAGTCATTGAGCTAACGAGAAGACTATTCCCGTGAAGGGGGGGCACTGACACATGAGCGCACACACACATACACACACACACACACATACGCACACACACACACACACACACACACGTCATTTAGATTCTGTACACTTTTTGTTAATAGAATCAATAGTAAGTAAACACTTTCACCATCTGACGCCATAAGTCAGTGCCCGAATTACAAAAAAGAACAAACAATTTCTTCAATTATGTCGCAACACAATTTTCCACCACTCTCAGTTTGGTTTTGTTCAGTACTTAGCCAAATTTAGTATATCAGCTCTCACGTATCTCTTTGCGCGAGAATCCTCTTCGTTTGCAGTCTACCTGTTGAGTATTGATGTTTGCAATTTAGTCTCTCGACGATGCGAGTTATACCGTATGTTGTGAAAAGGGAATGTTTTCACCATTTAAAATAAATTCTCGCTTTAAACATTATAACCAGAGTATTGCTGTTATATAAACGGTTTTTAATGCAATGAATTTATTTTATCAGTAATTACAATATCAGGCTTTTTTTTATTTCTGATTGTTCATACTGCAACTGTCTCTTGTAAATTTAAGTTTGGCTTTCATCACTTATTAATAAGCAAAGCTGGCTCCGTATCCACTTGACGTTTTAACTTCGTAACATATGCTCTCTGTAAACAAATGTTTTTTTTTTTTTTTTAAGTAAAAAGCAAGTAATAGTCTTAAAATCTTATGTGTTAATTATTTCTGAATACACAATTTAATGGTTTTTTTTTTGTCAGGCGATATCAATTACAGTATAATCGACGTTAATTTTGGATGACAAAAATTAACATTAAAAATAGTCTAAGACTTTTTAAAGGACACAAAAGTAATTTTTATTATTTTGAAATTAAAACCAGGATTAAAATTTCAATATAACATTTTTGCAATACTTTTTGAATTTTTTTTTAATAAAATATACATTACTATTGCTACAATTAGTAATGTTTATTTATTTATCTAGTTGAGATGACTACGCAACATGTAAATTATATCATGTTGTTGGGATATATTTGGGGTTATGTATGCAAAATATCAAAGATATATTTAGTCTTAACTCTTAGATATGAATAAAAACGTAGACTGACAATTTTTGTGCGTTAAAACCTAACGGTCACTAGCTTTTATATAGCAAAATGAAACCTTTGTTGTTCAATATAGAAAAATGTCTTTTACATTAAATGAAAACATTAAATTAAAATAAAAACAACCCATAATTTGCTTTAAATACTCTTTGAGTTATTTTCTTGCAGTTAAAACGGAAAACAAGAGCCCAAAGGAAGTATACAAATTATTGCAATAACGTTTAAAAATTCTCACTATGAAATGTTCGGAATAATTTTTTTATTAATAGAAATTCAATTGAACACTTTGTGTACAGAGACACTAATTTTTTTTTTCTAAAACCTGCATTAGGCACACAAACGTAGTGTTCCTTCTTGTACCATTTTATTTGGATATATTTTGGGGTTATGTATGCAGACTATGGAAAATGTATTTGATCTCAAAATAAAGCTAACGCGACATGTTTTGTGCTTCACAAAGCAACGGACACTGAATTATAATTTTTTAGTGGAAGAGTACTCTATCGGAGACAGATCATTTGTAGATATCCACAGTATTTGTAACTATGTCAATATATATATATATATATATATATATATATATATATATATATATATATACACATACATATCTATATATACATACATATATATATATACATATATATATATTTAATTTCAATAAAGGTGCAATTAATTTACAAATTCATGAATTATTCATACAAAAAACAAATACAAAGTTTAATGATTTAATTATGAAATCCATCGTCGCGAACAATTCAAATAATATACAAAAACCCCGAACCTGTTATGAATGAAAAGATCCTTGTTTTTATAAATTTCTGTTGCATTTTATTATTTTTACTACAAGCTTTCCTACAGACATCTTCAGGTATACATACATGCATATACATACATATATATATATATACACACATATATATATACATACATATATACATACATCTCTGTCCTGACATTGAGATTCTACCTGATTCTCTCCTTGAATTTATTTATATATATCTGTGTATATTAACCACCTATTATATATATATATATATATATATATATATATATATATATATATATATATATATATATATATATATGACTGGGTCATTCGTTTTCTGAGTACAACTGTCTACTAAGATAGCTAGCTAGTCTCTGTTTCAATCACTTTCTCGGGTACATCTATGTTTCTTCAACACTTACAATACCAATCTATGTTTTATACTGCAAATATGCTGTGTAGACATTAATTACAAATCATTTATGGCGAGAATTCGAACTCAGGTTTTACGGTTGGAATGCAGACGTTCTAACCACACACACACACACACACACACACACACACACACACACACACACACACATACACATTAACAGGTTGTAATGTAATGGTTAGCAAACTTGTCTTGCTTGGTCAATTACGACTCAGTAGTGAGTTCAATTCTCACCCGAAGCTCCATACTGGCATTTTTCACTACGCGAAGTAAAAAAGCACATGTAATCTAGTTACAACATCTGTTCTGAACTAAAGCTAAAACACAAAGAAAGAAATAATCGACCACAACCAATAATTTAGTGACGTTGCTCGAACAATTAGAACCGTGAATTCAGTTCAACTGCATCAAAACAAAAGAAAACCCAATCGCATAAACATGGTATCGATTATGATTATTTTATGATTAAGTGTCAGGGGAAACTTGTTGAAAACGCTCTCCAAAATTACATCAGTAGAATATTAAATCACAAGAAATTATTTAGGGAAACGATTTATTTACACTATTTACATTGTTCCGACTGTTGTCCTCATTTTTGTTGTGATATTCAGGACGTTTCGGCCGTTGTACGCTCTGGCCTTTTTAAGATATAGATTATTCTAGTTTCAAGTGCCATACCTTTTCTGGATATCTCAGTTTCAGTTATTTCCCTTTAGTAACTTAACTCTCCAAGATTTGTTCACCTCTGCTGTGGCCAGGTATTGAACTCACAATTCTTTGGGTCAAGTCAGTCGATTACTTCAACCAATGCTTTTATCCACTGGGCCATAAAACTTTATTGGTAGAAATAATCTAGTGGATAAAAGTGTTGATTAAAGTAATCCATCGAGCTGACCCAACGAGTTATGAGTTCAATACCTGGCCACAGCAGAGGTGAAAAAAAATCGAAAGTTGACTTACAAAAGGAAATAACTGAAACTGGAACAGAGATATCCGGGAAGGCATGGCACGTGTAACTAGAACAATCTACCCCGGTGGACGAAATAAAGAGTTCGGGTCGAAATTCTAATCACCTGAAAAAGGTCACAGTATGCAACGGCCGAAACATCGTGAATATGACAATAAAGATGAGGACAACAGTCCGAATAATGTAAATAGTTACAATACCTTATCTCAGAAATATAGACAGATCCTGAAGAAGAACGCAACCTACAATGGCTGAAACGTCGTGAATGTGACAATGAAGATGAGAACAATAGTCCATATAATGTAAATAGTGTAGTTACAATACCTCATCTCAGAAATATAGATAGAATCGATTTAGTTTTAAAATTCGATTTCTCCTAATATTTATCTATTGTGAATTCTTGTTAATGTGTCCAGTAGCGAGTCTAAGACACGACACTTTTTAAAAGACATTTTTTCGTTTTTAAATTTTATTACTGTAGAATGAAAAAATAAAATGAATGATAAACTTTTCTTACATTCTTCTTATTCCTTTTTTTTTATACGGAAACAGAAGAATTCGTCCAAAAATAGCACAAAATGTCATCGCCAACATTCGCACTCAACATGATTTTTAAAAAATCGTACAAACGTTTATAAATGGTGACGGCAATTTTTTTTTTAAGAAAAAAAAATGAGACTAGGATTGTAAGCAAATCCGTTTTATACTTTTTTAAAAAAATCATTCTGCTTATAAAATCCAATTTTCAATCTTGCTTTTTAGTCTGTCAAATGTCCCTGCACAAATGAAGCTTTTTTAATAATTACTTTATCTATTTTGGTTAATTTAACTTTCTTTTTTTCTTTTTAATAAAATACGTGTTTACAGTTCGTATTTTCTTTTTTTATTTATTACCGGATTTTTTGCGCGCATCCGACGATGAAAAACTTCTTACCCTGAATGCGATCTTATCTTTCTTGCCATAGGCTTGCTCGATTGGTTTCCGAATGACAGTGCGTACACCCGCGTAGTAGTCCATACCGATAGGTTTCGTACGATAAGGGATATAGAAGTATTCATCTTTTCTCGAACGTTTTAGGGTCGCGATGGTTGGGTTCAGCCCGTCGGAGCCGGAGCTCTCCGTGCTATCTCGTATATTTTTCGTGTTTTCTTGATGTCGCCGCTGCGTGTTACTCATACTAATCGTGTGTCGCCTGGAAGTCGACAACTCGTCTAGGATACCCATGTTACCAGCTTCTTCAACAAACTGATCGTCATTATTTCGGTTTTTTCGTAGTTTTCCGTAGAGAGGGTCGCTTTTCAAATAGTCTGGCTCATAACGCATAGATTTTTCCAAAAAATAGCCACTGTGTGGTTTACTGATAAGACTTCGTCTAGCCATTATATATTCGTCATCGGTGTCGGAAAGTTCGCTGGCTCCTACAAGCTCCAGACTCGATCCTTCTTCCGAGGTAACATATCCGGCAATATGAGCTCCGTTTGATTCTTCATCATTACCATCACTTCCCAATAAGGGCAAGGTAGTAACATCACCGTAGTGATTCTCTTCGTCGTCTGCTTGGTTCAACGACGACCCACTGGTTGATTTTTCCAAAAAGCGTCGGATATCATGTATCTCCGTGAAAATCGATTTTAGTTCCTTCTTAAGGACGTCGATCGATATGTTGGCCTGGTCGTCGTCGTTGTACTTGCCAACTTCTAACGGTTCCGATTGCACACCGATAGAGCTAAGAGCAACAGGTCGCCAATGTACTCTATGTTGCGATCCGTCTTGACTCTTCGAACGTCGATAGAAGCTGCTTTTGGGAGGGGAGCCGTAACGGGAGGAGCGCCTTTGTCGTTCATTTTGGACGAAAAGGTGACCGCCTTTCGGGTCGATCTTTTCCGAGTCGAGGTGCGTACTTTCGTTATGACTGCTACTCCGATGTCTTAAAGCCGATTTTGGACGAGATTTTCTACTAGTAGCTCGTCCCCTCTTGCTCAGCAAAACCACAGGGCAGTACTCTACTTCCCAGAGCTGTCTCAGTGTATTCTGGAGAAGTATACTATCATCGGATGTGATGCAACGAAATACAAGTACAGTAAATTTGTTCCCGCCTTCCTCAATCAGGCACATAAGGTTCCGGGGTCTTTTGCGCTTCGAGGCTATCGTATAAATTCTGTTCAAAGAGATTCCTTTCTCTAGGCCGGTTTTGAAGGCCCCGTCTTTGGAAAATACGAAAAGACCGGACAGTGACAATTGTAGCAGGCACATGCAGCCTTCGTTCCTTCCTTCTTGCATTTGAATTTCCTTTAGACAAAAATCTGTTAGTTTTACAGATTTCCATGTTCCAACAAATATCACTTGCTTCTCAACAGCGAGGGACTTTTGACCAGTCATTTCTTACAGACGCCACTAATTACTCAGTCTGTTCTCTTTCGAATTTTGCAGGACACTGAGGCTCCGTGTAATCAGACGCAGGCGTTTTGCTAAATGAGGAAACCTTTCTTTTTCTATTTTGTTCTCACTGGCGTAGAGCAACTTTTTTCTTCTTTTTTTTGTTACTATAATATTCACTTCTAACTGGTCGAACCAGTCTTGGAAAGCAGAGAAGAGACGGAAAAAATTTTTTAAAAAAGAACCGAACACTGAGAGAATTTCACCGTCTTTCTTTTGTTGCTCTCTTCCTTGAGACATAGTTATATATAACTCGTGGATCACTCAGATTTTACAAATATATGATTACCATAATCAACTCCAAACGTTAGGTAAAACTTCTTTGTTCAACTTTCTTCAACAAAAAGATACCTTTCTATGAAACAAAGATTAATAAACAAAAATGCCATCATAATGGCCGGCTCATTCTATCGCTCCGGAAAGTACCTGACTCTTTCTACCATACTTTACTTTTAAATGTATCGGTTTATACACAAAAATGGATTACAACTGTCATATCTGGGCTGGAGCTGCACAATCCTTGATTTTCAGCCTTGATAGAGTTCAAAATCATTTATGGGGTCTTGTAGGGGAAAAAATTATTCTCCACCCTGCAGACACTTTTACCAAAGGCAGAATATCGCAAGTCTATCGCTACTCTATCGCTATTTCCATGGCAAATATCCAGAAGAGTCCAATTCTTTTGTTCTGCTAGTTCAGACTTTTACAGCTTGGACACACCATGCAACTAACACAGGGTCAAGCACCGTCATTTTCTCCGTATTCCAAATGTAAAGAGAAATATTTAGAAAGATTGTTTCGCTAGATCAATTATGAATGAGTAGTGAGATTGATCCTCACTAGGTGCTCCATACTTTTGGCCTTGTGCCACATCTAATCTATTCTTAGTAAATTAGCTGGCCACTTCAACATTGTGTAATGGTAAGCATGCTTGTCTCGCTAGATCACTTACGACTAATTAGTGAGCTTGATCCTCACTAGGTGCTCCATTCTTTCGGCCTTGTGCCACATCAAAGCTAATCTTAGTAAATCACCTGTGCACTTCAACATGGTGTCATGGTTAGCAAGTTTGTCTTGCTAGATCAATTGCGACTGAATAGTGAGATTGATCCTCACTAGGTGCTCCATACTTTTGGCCTTGTGTCATATCTAATATACTCTTAGTAAATCACCTGGGAACTTAGACATGGTGTAATGGTTAGCAAGCTTGTCTTGCTAGATCAATTTCGAATGAATAGTGAGTTCTGTCTCATATATACATGCTAATTCAGAGATAATAAAGAAAAGGAATCTGTGGAGAGTCATGATCAAATACGCCCTGAAGAGACATGGCATTAAACTTGGAACTTCAAACAGATATCCATATATTTATAATTCGACTAATATCTTCATTTTTGTAGTTATTATCACAACTTTTTCGGCCATTGCGCCGTCAGCTGTTTTTCATGTATTTGTTGACTCGAATACCCTTCAAGGAATTTCGAATTGAACCCTTTATTTAATCAACGGGGATGTTTCTCGTTTCCTGTTAACGTCTAGAGGTATCACATCTTCTTTTATACACATCATTATTTAAAGTTAAACTAATGTCCTCATCTTTGTTGTTACGATCACAACGTTTCGGCCGTTGTATCCTCCTGCTTTCTTCTAGTACCTACGTAACCTCCAGGGAATTTCGAACTGTACCAATTATTTAATCTATTTAGTAGATTGTTCTCGTTCCGATATCTAAGGATATCTCATCGTGACTGTAAATAATGATAGCTCCTTATCCCAGAAATTCAGACAGAAATGTCCTTTTGGTTAATCGATAAAACCGTTAACATTTTTTTAAATCGATTATAAGGGGTTATATTGTTATATACCAAATAGTTGCCGTGTTTTCCACCAAGAAGGAAACGTTTGACAAAATATATCATTTTAAAGATCAGTTTGACAAAAATTGATCTGTGCTTATATATATTAATAGTGTTTATTGTATGATACTGTGTTTAAAGTGTTTTGCAAAACAATTATTATTTACTTGCCTTAGAATGGTACATGGAGTGGCGGTGGAGGATACAATGGCATTTTTAAATATTTGCGTCATTTTTATTTTTTTAAATATTTGTGATATTTTTTGCCCTATTATTTGAGATTCTATCTGGATTCGAACCTTGACCATTAGCACGCAACCTCTTCAGCCACGAAATAGACTTGGTTACTGATATTTTCTATTTAAGTACGGTACGAAACCGAACAGGATTAAGGGGGATGCGTTGCACAAGTCTTTTTTAATTGAAGAGAGACTGTGTCTTGGAAAATAAGCATTCGAAATCCGGCTTATAACCTGGAAACGAACAATGACCATTGGTACATGTTGGCACTTAACTTATCGGATATTTTGCTTAATCTCCATGTCGTTTAGTTACTTTTCTCTGGTAACGTTCAGAATGGTGGGGCAGGAGTGCGACGGCCCCAGGCATCCGTATCGGGAGGGGATCCAATCAAAGAGTGAAATAAAAAATAGTTTATATTTCATTTGAATAAAGTGTTTATTTCATGTTTCATCTGTTTTTACATATTTAAAATGTCTTCCTTTCTCACATTTCTCAGTACTATGCTCTATAGGCCCTTTACTTGAGTCTTAGGGACATAAAATGAAGGAGTTGGTCCCGGGCATCACTAAACCTCTGCACGTCACTGCTCTTCCCACCCATCCGTCCAAAGCAATCTTCTTCACTTTTTAACAGCAAGCTTTAACTATAATAATCAGGCACGTGGATATTAATAATTTAGAATAGAAGACACTGCATTTATTCATGAATAATCAGTGATGAATTGATCTTAAGTTTGTTTTTAATATTATAAATAAATTTAAATATGTGGTTAATATTTAAAAGACTCTCTGTCTTATTCGACCTTGACCTAATTTCATTATTTATTGAGAAACTCTTAGAAAATAACAAGATGGCGTTTTCAGTCATTACGACGGGAACGACAACACGCGTTGCATTTTCTTGTTGGACAAAGTAATATTCACAGCTTACATTTTTCCAGACTTACTGAAAACCTCTATTTATTGATATAAGCACAGACAAAAACACGTATGTATGATCCACATGAGGAAATACCATATGGTCTGCATCGAATTTAATGTCAATAAGGACCGTTTGTTCTAAGAAGAGTTGATCTCTGGTGATTCCAATATGTACTGGGGCCACTCTAAGAGATGCCAAAATTGACTTTGCACTAATCTTAGGATCAGAGAAGCGAGGTGCATCAGACAATTGATTTGGAACATATCCTCATAGCCACCAAGTGCAGCTTTCCCTGATAGGTAATCAGGTGATCGATCAATTCTGGTTTAGGGTGCGCACACGTCAGGCAACAGGTGGCAGGAATATATATAAGCAACTACGCGAGAGAGAAGAGGAAGAAAGTTTGATACTTCTTCGCGAGAAGAAGAATCCATGTTTGTAGAAAACTTCTCAAAATACACACCCACTCGTCGGTATTAATTGACGAAATCCGATGTTGAATAAACAATAATTTTACGTATAAGAGATTTAGTTACGTGTTCTTATTAGTTTTTTACAAGGATAGCATTACACACACACACACACACAAAACGCACGCACACACACAAACACTAACGCGCATACACACATAAATACACGCACACGCATAAACGCACATACAAATACACATACGCACACATACAAACGCGCACACACAAACACATGCACAAACACACACGTAAACGCACACACATAAGAAAGGATGTGGAGAAGCAATCAATATTCGCTAAGCCAATTATTATTATTTACATCATCATCATCATCGTCATCATGACAACGGTTCGTCGTGATATTATTGTTAGGCTCGAGAATTATTAAAATTGAGTAGCGATTTCGTTCCTCACTATGTGCCTCAAGGTTGTAGTGCCAAAAAACGAACCTGTTAAATAGTTATATATGTATGGGGAGAAACAAAGTCACAAATAAATAACCATTTAGTTTAGAATCAAATGCGACAAAACAGAATCAATGACAAAGAGTGCCAGCAGTGAATAAAATCATTACGGCTGATTAAGGAGGGAAGAGACAAGTATTTAGGTGCGAGGGGGGCGGGGTTGTTGTGGCTGATGGATTGGGGCAATTCAGAGGAACCCAAAATTTGAAACAGACGCGTCATTGAGGCGCCAGAATTGGAATTTTAAGATGGATTAAAATATCACCTGACAAGATAAGTTATTGTAATTTAGAATCAGAGGGCACGTGCGCGCGCATACACACACACACACGCGTGCGCACACACACACAAATGCAGACACTAACAAATTCTCCTTGCTAGCGTTTTCTCATTTTCTTTCATTCTCAGCAACCGCTTGCGTCTTAGGGACATTATCGCCTTGCTTTGGGCTGAAATGCCAAAAAAAAAAGAAAAAAAGAAATTCTATATATTTCTTGATGGAGGCGCGAGTGGGCCAGAGCCAAACAACACGGAGGATTGAATCAGTGAACCGAGTTCAAATTGATTGCATTCCCTTCGCACCAATACCCTTAGGAAAGGTAGGAAACGAACCCATTTCTCTCTCACATGTCCAGCAAATAGTATAGTCGTTTGGCCCCGTTAGGCAATCTATCCTGGGTGGCAGGTCTAGCGCTACATTGGGTTCTAATTAACTTATTAAAGACACTGTTGCGGCGGCGCTCGGTGTAGCTGCGGCCCGAGACTTATATATATATATATATATATATATATATATATATATATATATATATGTTTATTATGCAGTGCTACATTAGAACATGTATATACCCACTGCAAAACTGTACATCTTGTTTCAAACGTTAAAAAAT